GTTAATTAGAAAGCTAGAGCATTTTTGAGAAGGGCTTCTATTATTACATAAACTGACAACGACGTTTCACCCCTCTGACATCTGCTTGGGGTAGTTCTACTACTTGAACTTCTTCTTCCGTGTCGATGGGTACTATTATCATGTGGGAAACATCAGCACTGCTGCAGGTATCATAATCGGTATCACTGTTATCGGTATCATCACTTAGCTTTGTTAATATGATAGGTTTGTCAACATTGGCGAGAAGTTTCTTTGGCAATTCCGCGGACGACTCCTCCTTAGAAGTTTCCCCAATCAATTGTTCGGAAGACTGTTCATACTCACTTTCATAAGTTTTGTCATCACCAACGAGATCAACAGTAGTCTCCAAGTAGACGTCAACGATGTTCAGTTCGGTCACTTCTGTTTGACTCATTCTTGGCTGTTCAGTAAAATCGCTGAGCGTGCCCGGTTCCGTAGTTGATTCTTTCTTTGATTTCTTTCTGTTGCCCCCATTGTATTCTTGCACATTGAATTCAGTTGTGAATAACAGATGTTTAATGGCCACTCCTTCCAGATTTCTGATAGGACGTCGAGAACAGGGCTTTGAAGACTTTTCGGCGTTTCCTTTGTCGTCTTCGGAATCGATTTCAGCTTCCTTGACTAACGGATGCGTTACCTCGACCACCTTTGCCTCTTCCTCTTCGTCGTCTTCGTCCTGATACTCAAAGTCAGATTTCGCCACGCTGACGTCGTAATCTTCGGAGTCAAGAACTTCGCTAGGCACTGGCGAGTTTGGCGTGTCAGTGGTAGTCTTCTGAATGACTACCATAGTGGTGGTAAATGGTAGATATTGACATCACAGTTTCAAGTCACATATATGGTAGTGGACCGCGTCTGTTTCAGAGTATGTGCCACACACCTTCTTACACACCCACCGACGTGCTCAGGAAACACGTGTCATCAACGATATATTTGGCGTCATATGAGGATTTTGAACAAGGGAGATGTCCAGTTATTTTATCCAACCCATCTCATAAGCATCAACCTCTGACGCGACCACCTGCCGCATATCTCCAAATAGACGATCCATGCAATAACGTCCCTGCGGATAAAATCCCCACGCCCATTTCTTTGTCAGCCCACAGATTTCATGAGTGGAGAAGCATTCTTGATGTGCTACGCGGTCTATCGGTAAGCCACGATCCCAGAAAATTAGTGGTGTTAGCCGAGAATAGTGCTGATCAAGTGCTCTTTGTGAGGATGAAAACAAACGTCCACCGAGGGAATCTACCGACAACAAAAGGACTGGTATGACTAATATGACATTGGCTCTGTCGTTTGATCGAATGACCATTATTCATTACTACCGGCAACGTGCTTGAATCACGCGATGTGGTCGTAATTTAGGCGATTGTGGAGACGACAGACGCGAAGGTAACAATAGCGATCGTCAACGAACAAGGAGATGAGATCCATATAAAGATGTGACCACGCCCAGGGATCCAGCTCCATTGTAATGGATATCCCCCGCTACACCCAGGTGCTCTTGGAGGCCATCGAGACGGACTACTCGCTGGAGCGGTACCTTGAAGACGACCTCGCCACCAACTTCCCTCGGGTGCCCGAGGTGGTGTGCCACTTGAAGCTTCTCCGGGCGTTTGCTGTGTACAAAGAGCGTATTTTGGAAGGGGAAACCGGCAACGATGCCACGAAGAAATGGCAGGTGTTTATCACTGTTGCCGTGAGACGATTCATCATCTGGATCTCCGGCTTGAAGAGTTATCTTAAACCGGAAAACGTCATGGCCCGCCAGTGCAAAAAGCAGGTGAAGAAACGGGAAAAAGCCGATGCCAGCCCCAATGTCGACTTGGCCAGATCCCACCTGAGAACCAAGCCCGTCGCCGAACCTCCTGAAGCTGCCAGTGTTCCGGAAATCATATCTGAGCACCGTCTTTTCTCTGTGGGCCTGACGAAGCATATCCCTTTCATTAATGCGTTTGGTGATCACTTGCCGCCTCTCGACGTGGCAATGGTGTGGCACGCGTTCTTGCTTACTCCCAGGCTGTTTTACGACACGTTCTTGCACCACAGCTTCTTGTTCTTTGCCAACTACCCGTTCCCGTTGCTTGCGCTTACCCAGAGAATCTCCGATACCGACTTTGCATACCGTCCTGAGGAGTACTATGTCGAGCGGTTCCAAGACATATTGGAGCGGGTGGGGTATATCCGGGAACCGTACTCCATCGATGAGTTTAGCGTTGACGTTGTCCACTTCGACGTGTTCTGTCCTCAATGCCACATGAAGATCGTCAACCAGGTGCCTGCCACCACCAAAAGCGGTATTGGCTATACCGACGCGGGATTCGCCGTCACCGCGATGCCGTGCCAGTGTTCGTTCTCGTTGGACTTGGACCATGACGAAATCCGTAAACGCCAATTACATGCTGATGCGGTGAGTAAACTGACCCTTCCGGGGGTGTTTAAATACTTCTCCAAAGTATTGACCCTGCTGCTCCCCAGCGCTATTGAACCGATGCAATGGGACGCCAAGTTGAAGCAAATGATCACCGGCCAGCTCACCCCGAAGGTACTGAAGCTCGACTTTATCAAAATGTTGCGCCACATCCAGTCGGAGGTTAACCATCGTCAGTTGAGTAAAGTGTTGAAGTTGTACCCGATGATGAACTTGATTTCTGCTACTGTCCCCGGAGATGTGGTGGTGTGGGAAGACCTTGTCGGAGCCATCTTCCGTCACGAACGGTTCATGGACACCATCAATGGCCTCGACTTGCTTTGTGCTGACGACATTGCCGAATTCGCCGCGGAGCTGATCTCGCGGTACAAGCGGTTCTTTCACCTTGCTGTCCACGCTGATGGCGGCACGTTGCTTGTGCCGACGTTGGATATCGATCTTGTCTGGCATACTCACCAGCTCTCCCACTATTACTATGTGAGGGACTGTTTGCGCCTGGGGAGACGGGTGGTGGTGGACCACGACGATAAGGTCGACCAAGGACGTCTCGACACCCAGTACGGCCACACCGCCCGCGTCTACTTCAACCAGTTTAAGGAGGAGTACCTGGAGTGTCGATGTAACTATTGCACCCACAAGAGATCTCGAGCTCCTGCGAGTAAGTTGAGACAGATCTTCCGCTCCCACACTCATCAGAAGCCACCAAAGATTAAGGTACCGGGAACGGAGAAGATCAAGGGACACCGCAAGCAGAACCTGCAGCTGTCGCTCCGGCTGGTGCTGTCTCAGCAAACGTCGCTGCTGCTGCCTCGCCAGTCGCTGCTGCTGACGCCGACTCCCCCGGCTTCGGAAACAGCTACCGCTACCCACGTATCATTCCACAACGCTATTGAATTACCGCTGGCAGCAGCCCAACGCCATTTGAAGAGTATTGAGCAAAAGCTTGGTGACGACGTGCCCTGGCACCACGAAGAGGAAACGACGCCGTTTGTCGTATCGCCCACCAAGCCAGTCAATGCTCGGTGTGCGCAATTGTTTGGTCCGGGTCTCTGTGTTACCACCATCGACATCTTGGACGAACCCCAGCCGCCGAAACCAGGCTGGCGCTGGCGCCCCACCCCTGATAATTAGGAAAATTAAGAAAAAGGTACTTGTGCTACTTGCTAGTGGAAGTGATTATCGTCTATCGTTAATGCAAAGAAAGATTAAGAAAGGTTGAGCCTCGTCGAGGCCATAAACTCCAAGTAAAAAGGCGGTAACTCCAAGATTAGATTGATCGTCTAGGGCAACCCCTTAGCGGCGCGGTCCCAGCGCTCTTCGGCGACCCAACCGGCATTGATAACGGTGACGACGTCGCCAAGGTTGAGCCCTTGTTTTAACGGGCGCCCCTTATCGACGAGCTGGGTATAGATCTTCACGTACTGCTCTTTCGGTGCCGGCGCTAGCGCTGGCGCCGCCACGCGGCGAGCCGCTGCTGGCAGGGGGTCGAGCCACTTGGCGCGGCGGTAGTGCCAGAGCTTGGTGCCGAGCTGGGAGTCGTCGACGGTGCCGTCGGACAGCGCCAGGTCCTTGAGGTAGTCGGCGCGCATCTTGCACACGTCGACGTCGCGGAACAGGTTGACTTCGGTGGCCAGCCCCGTGTCGGGCAGCGGTTGCGGCTGGGGCGATGGCGCCATCAGCAGCGCGATCTTGTCCAACAGCTTATACTGGCGGTACTTCTCCAAAAACGCCTCGTCGGTGGCGGTGTTGCCTCGCTGGGGGCGCATCAACCTCAGAAGCAGCTCGTCGCGCTCGCTGTCTTCGAAGAGCTCGTCGATGACCAGCTCGTCCAGCAGGTCGTCGTGAGCGGCGGCGCGGACCCGGTCGAAAAACTGGCTCCACTCGGCGGCGACCCGGCGAAGAAACAGCGGCTTTTTGCTCACGGCGCGGCTGGCGCTGCTGCTCTTGGGAGAGGACATCGGGCGCCTGGAAGCTCGGGGCGACGGGCTAGGGGATGGTTAAAGGGCAAGTGGCCGGAGGCGGGCGAGTCGCTGCGAGAACTCACAACCCGAGGTGACGCTGATTATCTGCGCAGGTGTTCCCATGTCAAGTGGTGGGTGCGCCTAGCCTTGTGTGCACGCCCTGCCGCAAAAAAAGCATCGTCCTGCAGGTGGCGGCGACACCGACACCTCTAAGGTGGGGCAACACTGCCCTCTGTTGCTAGTGGTAGCGACGCCCCGTCAGCGGTGACTGGGTAGCAGCCTCCAACAGCCCAAAGCCGAGGCCTATCATAGACAAAGAAACGCCACCTCGATCTACCTAAAACTATACGAGCTTCTTCTTTTTTATCTTTGGACGATGACACCAGCATTTCTCTGTATTTACTGCAAGTTTCTAATTCCAGGCGCTTTTTGTTTGCTCGCTTCGAGAGTTTAGTGGCTCGATGCGGAACAGTCACGCTGAGGGTTGCCTGCCTGAGGAAAGGCGTCCTTTAGCAATAGCCGCCAAGCAACGGAGGTCGTGCGAGGCCACCAAAGCAATACGATGACTCCACCCCCGTACCTCCGTTAGTCTCCCTGATATTATCTTGACTACCCTAAGAAGATATAGTTAAACTCTTGGAAGTATGAGTTTATCATCAGGTGTAATACATAGGATTATGGGGAAAAGTCTGTTAATTTATGTACAAGCGAAGGGAAGCGGGCTTAAGTAATCACGGCTGGTCCGGGTGGAACGTCTATATTATGGACAAGTAAAGTGTACTTAGTTTTTTGCTTTTTCTTATTTACTTAACTGACACAAACCCCGCAATGCCACAAACGGCTGATCTAGCCCTAAGGCTAAAGAGGATAGCAAGAATACGAAGATGATCCGATCCGAAACCCTATAACTATTTTTACTTTGCCATCGTAATTTGTGGCAAATGGAGTTTGTCTATTAAAGCTATCATGAGAATCGTAATCGTAAGTCACGCCACCACTGGGGACTGTAAATCACGCCTTCTTCCACTGGGCGACAAATTGCTTGTGGAACTGGGCCCACTTGTCGATCCACTCGGTGCCCGGCGCCAAGAACGTCGTTCTGAGGTGGTAGGTGCCCTCGACCTGGCCAAACCCGTTACCGGGGACACAGCAGATCCCGGTGTTCTTCAACAACTCCAACGCGTACACGTCGTCGACCTGCTTGTTCTTGCCGGCGGCTTCGTCAAACAACGCCGGGTAGTGTTCTCTAGTAAAGTTCAACTTGGGGAACAAGTACATCGCCCCTTCAGGCCGTTGCGACTCGACGTCCTCCATCTGCTCAAAGGCATCGTACAATCTGTCGGCGCGCTCCCGCAAGTCGGAGGCGATCTGGTTCGATTCTTGCTGATAAGTATCATACGACGGCAGCCCCGGCTTAGGCGGGTTCACCATCAATTCTACCAACGCCTGCCCCGACACCACCGAGCACAAGTTGATCGACGCCAATTTATAGATCACCGCTTCCACTTCGGGGGTGAAACCAACAAGTTCCATGTACCCACCACGCTGACCACACTCACCCGACACACCTTTAGAGGTCGAGTGCAACGACGCCAATTGCACGTTGTTGTAAAGCTCAGGGTTTTGCTCCTTCAATTGGCACAACACCTTCTTCACCGAGACAAACTCGCCGTGGAACACGTTGCATTGGTACACTTCGTCGGCAATCAACACGAGCCCGTGTTCGGCAGCGATGTCAATGAGTTCAGCAATGTCGTCTTCCTTCAAAATGGCACCAGTGGGGTTACCGGGGTTGATGATGACTAAGGCCTTCAAGTCGACGCCCTTCAGTTTGTTATCAGCAATCACGGCTCTGATCTCAGCGGGGTCGGTACGCCAGTTCTTGGCTTCGTCAAGGTAGTAACCGACGGCGACGGCGTTACCTAAGGCAATGGTGGCAGTGTACAACGGGTACTGGGGGATGGGGATTAAGAACCCCAGCTTTTCGTTCTGGTTGAGCACCGTCAACAAGTAGGTGACGGCGGCCGAGGCGCCCCCGGTGAGGTAAATGTGTTCGGGGTCGGAGGGGAAGCCATCGCGCTCAGCAATCGCCTTGGCGATCAGTTCTCTGAACACGGGCGCCCCCTTGGAGTGAGAGTAGGCCCCCACCGAGCCCACCGCATTCAAGAAAGTCTGCGCCCGGTCAATGACGTCAGCCGGGTAGACGTCGCGGGCTTTGGTAGCAAGGTCAGGGTACTGCAAAATCAGCAACACTTGGCGGTACCACGTCAACGGCTTCTGCTTAAGCTGTTGCGGGTTGCCGATGTTGGCGTTGACAATGTGGTCAAAGGGGAGCTTCTGGCCCTGCTTCAACTGCTTGGCCAACTCGTCGGCCAAGTTGGCGATCTCACCCCGAACAGCGTACTGGGTCTCGACGGAGTACGGGTTGATGTCGGCCAACGTCAACGCCGGCGCCGGTTTGAACAGTTTGGTCATAGAGGAAAATCTGCGTAAGCTGGCCGAGATCATCTCCTGTATTTATGTCGTTATTCGGGGAAGAGGAGACGATTGAGAACTCTGGCGGCTGGGAACTTCCGAACCGTTTTCGCGCTGCCCCGGGCTGCCCCGAGAGGGCCCAGCGACGACGCGCGCCGCTTCCCCTCCACCAGAGTCAGAAATTTAGGTAAACACCCCCCCTAAGGTCACGGACACCGTCTCCAATTCCTTATTTCAACTACAATTGCTCGTGTAGATGTAAGACAGCACGGCTACCACCCAGTGGGCCCACACCAGCAGGGTGTACGGCGTGATTTTACCCCGGAGTTTTTTTTTTTTTGTTGGACTTTAATGTCCTTCGACGATGTAGAAGCAAGAAAAAAAAAGCCTTTGTCAAGGTAACGTGGAGCACACGGTTAGTGACGGTTGCGAGCGGTGCTGGCCGCTACTCTCTTTCTTTATGCGGCTTTGCAAACTAGGGGGGAAGATGAAATGACGATACCCCGCAATCCCAAAACCTTCTGGGTTTTTGCGGCATCGGTTTGCGAGTCAGGCGATTGCCGAACTAGTGTGAGTAGAGATCAACCTCAGTTTCCCCAAACACGGCGTTTACCTTTGCAGGTGTGCGTCCGAGGTCCGAACGCACCTCGAGCTGCTTCTCTAGACATAACTCCGTGGCTACTTGCCAGGTATAGTGCGGGTACCCGGAAGCTCGACGCCATGGTGAGGGAAAAGGTGGGGGAGAGAGTTAAAGGTCGTGCCACCGCAAGCGCGCCATCAAATCACCACAAGTTCGAATCCGTATAACAGCAATTTTTCGAGTTTAAGAAATAAAACCTAGAATTTCTAATCTTCATGAAAACAATTCTGTCAACGTTAAACATGGCTCTGATCATGCTTCAACTCGTTCTAATATCGTTTCCCATAATGGTCGATTTCGTGAATCTCATGAGTTTTTTTGTGCTCGCTGTCTCCTGCACACGTCCAGGCTTACCCACCATCTTTTTTTCAACCACCGCTCATTGGCCGTCAGGTTTGAACCTTTACCAAACATGCCCAAGTTCAGATTCTCCTTCCAGCCCCTTGGTGGCTTCTTCTCGGCGAAGGTGCCCAAGTTCAACGTGCAACTTGAACGGGACATTCGCAGCAAGCTCGACCTGTTGCCCTCGGTGACGAGAATCTACACCCACCCCGACGGCATGCCTCGTGTGCCCACCGACGAGGAGTTCAAGACCATCGCCGAATTGCAAAACATGTACTACCAAAGAAACCACTCCGAATGGAACTTCATCCTCCCCGGGATCCCCAAGGACCAGTTGCAGTTGTTCAAGGACAACTCGCAAGACCTCGCCAACTTCCAATTTGTCTCGCAAGATGCCGGTAAAATCGTCGACAAGATCCCTTACAAGGACGACCAGACTGGGGAATTGAAGTGGAAGGTGGTTAGAGAAACCCCCAAGGCCGAAGGCTGGGAATTTCCTTACTTCTACCTCGTGTTGCCCGTGTTTGCCTATGTGTTGTACTCGAAGTACACCGCACAAATGCAACGCAGACAGACGGACGGTCCCGAGTGGGCGGAGAAGGAATTGCGTTTGCGTGCCATGGAAGACTACTTCCACGGCGACACTGAAAAGGCCAAGGAGTTCTTGTCGAACGAAGGCAAGTCCCAACGCGAGATCCAAGACAGAGACGACCTTGTCATTGCCAGAATCCTTGCCGGTGATTACGACAAGTTGGGTCAATTGAAGAAGAAGGAAAACTTAGCATAATTCACGTAGAATCGTAATAAATAGAAACGAGGAAATAACATGGGAAATGTAGGTTAAAAGTGGGGCAGAAGGCGAATTGTAGTTTGTTTTAATCAAGCTTAGTTTCAGTGACGCCAAGGATCATCTCGAAACACGCGTATGGCCATACCACGTTTGATTCAAGTATTTACTTCAATCGCTGCTTTTGCTTACATTAGTGCATCGATATCAATCAAGGCTAATGAACCCCTTGGTCTAATGAAACTCAAAAACGAAAAACATAATGATTTCAATTGACTTTGAAGTCATTTTATGCCCTACTCGATTCCCTGAGGTTCTTCCCCTCCGGTTTCGGCGCGTTCCAGAAGTGTCCACGTGAAATGAGTCACGGCGCACCCCGGGTTATAAGGCTGAAAAATTGAGTCGCCCGGTGCTCTTAAACTTTGTCAATTAATCCTCCTACCATGGTCAAAGCAGGTGTTTTGGGTGCCACGGGCTCCGTGGGCCAGCGTTTCATCTTGTTGCTCTCGCAACACCCCACCTTCGAGCTCCACGCCTTAGGGGCGTCGCCTCGTTCCGCCGGTAAGAAGTACGCCGATGCCGTCGTCTGGAAACAAACCGAATTGTTGCCCGAACTGGCCAAGGAAATCTTGGTGCAAGAGTGCAAGCCCGAAGGTGCTCTCGCCGAGTGTGACGTCGTGTTCTCCGGTTTGGACGCCGATGTCGCCGGCGACGTGGAAATCGCGTTCAAGAACGCCGGCAAGGCGGTGATCTCTAACGCTAAGAACTACCGTCGGGAAAAGGATGTGCCGTTGATTGTGCCCATCTGCAACCCCGAACACATGGAGGTGGTTGAAGCTAAGCTCAGAGCCGCTAAGGAAAAAGGTGAACAAAAGCCCGGTTACATCATCTGCATCTCCAACTGTCTGACGGCGGGTCTCGTGGCTCCGCTTAAGCCCTTGGTGGAAAAATTCGGTCCCATCGACTTGTTGACCACCACCACTTTGCAAGCCATCTCGGGTGCTGGTTTCTCTCCCGGTGTCCTGGGCATTGATGTCTTGGACAACATCGTCCCTTACATCTCTGGTGAAGAAGAAAAGATCGAATGGGAAACGAGAAAGATCTTGGGTAACATCTCTGACGATGGTACCGAGTTCGCCCCCTTGAGCGAAGACGAAATCAGAGTGCTGGCTCAATGCAACCGGATTGCGGTGCTGGACGGCCACACTGAGTGCATTCTGTTGCGTTTTAAGCAACAACCCCCTCCCTCGTTGGAAGAAGTGAAGCAGTGCATGAGAGACTACCAGTGTGATGCTGCTAAGTTGGGGTGCCCTTCGGCTCCTAAGAACACCATCCACGTGTTAGAGGAAGTCGACCGTCCCCAACCTCGTTTGGACCGTAACCGTGACGCTGGTTACGCCGTGTCTGTTGGTCGTGTCCGTCCCGACCCCGTGTTGGACTACAAGATGGTGGTGTTGTCCCACAACACCGTCATCGGTGCTGCTGGTGCTGGGGTGCTCATCGCCGAAATCTTGCACGCCAAGAACCTTTTGTAAACGAATCTCGTATATATATCTCTGTTAATTACTTGTACATGAAATCATTTTATGTAATGGTGGTATGTCATTTACGCCACCCGCTCCGCTCCCAGGAGCTTCACCGCCGCCCCGTACTTTTGCAATTTGGTCAACAACCCGTCACCTTGCTTGATTAATTGGGCGTATTGATGGTTTTTCAGGTCGGGACGGTTAGTCTCAATGATACCGTTGACTTTGTCAATGGTGCAATTGAGCTTCTTATTGGGGATGAACCGGCACAAGTCCTGGTCCAAGAATTCTTCAGAAACGTTGAAGTTCAGCGCCATTGACTTGAGCGACAACAGCTTGTACAGTTCCAATAACTGCTTGTAGGCCTTACAACGTAACTCTCTCAAAAGGAAGTTAGCGTGTTGATGAAGGTACTTGTTGGGAAGCAAGAACTGGTCGTACACCCGGGTGATGTCGGAGAAAAAGTACTTGTACTGGCAAAGGTATAAGTTGGTGGTCAAGTCAACCAACAGTTGCAACATGTCGGGCAGTTGCGAGTAGATGGAGAGGATCTCCGGCAGGTCGATAATCTTTTGCTTTAAGTCGACACGATCAAGCACAAGCACCCCGCAGATGGTGGCGTATTGCGCCACTTGTTCGTAGGAGCAGATTTCCGTCAGCGTGAATGTGGCCAACGAGTCGATAAGGAGGGTCGCCGCCTCGCTGAATTGGCGCGTGGCCATAAGGTAGATTCCGTTGTAAGTCTTAAACCGGTTACGACGTTCCCAGTCACCACCCTTGTCGATGAGCACCTTCACTTGGTCCAAGTACTTTTGCACCAGGCGGTAGTCGTTGAAGAAGAATTCAAGGCGCACAACCAGCAACAAGATGTCGATCTTCTTCCCCAGGTCCTGGCCCATGTCGATGGCCTTCTTGTATGTTTCCAACGCCTTCTCCCGGGCCAAGATCTCGGTGTAATAGTCGCCCAACTTGATGAGGGTGCCGAACACGTCGATCTCGGTTTCGTCCTGTTCCTCAGCATCCTTGAGCTGTTGTTCGAGTTCAGAGATCTTCTCATCGTTCTTCACTTCCATTTGTCTCAATTCGTCATGGGATAACGTCGACACCTTATATTTATCGACGAGGTAGTGGTAGTAAGGAGTCAAGTTTTGTTCTTTGCATTGAGCCACAAGCTCCTTAGCCAACTCGGCGTTTTTGCTGGTGTCGTTCGAGGTGGCAAGAAGGAACTCCTTCTCCAGAAGCGTGTAGTCGGGGATACGGGGCAAGTCGTCGCTCATGTCGCCACCAGGATTGAGATCGCAGTGGCAAGCGCGCGCTAATGTGGTTTATGGTGCGGCGGGGCGAAGACCAAAGAAGCTGAGGGAGAAAACGATTACTACACAAATTTATGAAAAAATGATAATAGACGAATGTTTTCAGTGGTATGGTTTGAATCAATTTTGATGATAAATCATAGTTTTTGGATCATTGTCAATGTATATATAAATAAATAGAACCAGTTGTGAACGATACCAGATCGTCAATGGCAGTGGGTGATTGTCATTTCAAATGTGGATTCAAATGTGAATTTAGACGAGTGCCTTCAACATCACGAATCCCAAGGTAATGAAGATTACCCGTTCAAAGCGGCGAGTCAACATGAGGAAAAGAACCCATTTCCCCAGCAACTCCCTGGGGATGTCGTGGGTCAACGGTAACGATAAGTCGTCCATGGCCAATAACGGTGTTTAATAAGGATTAGTTTAGTGGCGTTGGCTTGTATATATGGCCCGTTTTCGCAAAAGCAATAAGGCGTCCGATTAACCTAGGTTATCGCCGGTCGCTGCTTTCAACCCCGATCACGGAAATACGAGACCTTCGACTTAGAATGAAGAACAATTGATGAATGAAAGAAATAACTATCAGGTATACAAAGCGGTAGAAATTGAGAATGATAGAATTCTGTATCATCTGAGTGGTCGTAGCCCTCTCAATCAGTCAGTCGATGGAAGCAACGGTAGAAATACTCCGTTAATAAAAGTCTCGGACATGCGGATCGTGGGCAAGGGCAGATGCTACGGTATAAGTAACCTCGGCTCCTAAGAGGAGTAACGTGAGCAAAGGCACGTGAACGCTAGTGAGCTCCGTTCCACTGTGGCAGGGCTAGAACTGACGTGGTGCCATGTGACGTGCGATTATGAACTTGCAGGGTTAGTTATTGGCAGTAACGTACGTAGGCCATATTTATTCCTAAAACAGATTAATACCCAATATGTCAAATTCGGGTAAATTGTCAATGTCAATAGCGTTAATCAATATTGACAGCACCAACACAAAACGCCACCTACGTCCAGACACTACAGCCTAAACCACCGATATTATATATGCGGGTAATTAACTATCGAGGTGTCAACAAGCCCTATACATGTGTACTTTCCCACAGTGTTATTCATTTTCACTCCAAAACAAACAAGCTGGCGTTGTCCCACAACCTGTACCAGTCGCCTGTCAAAAAAACCCCGTCGATCGGGACTTACCCCTAAACGTCTTTTTTCCCGAGCGGTCGCGCTGAACGCATAGATCCGCATTAGTGCATACCAAGCGACGATGGAAAACTGGGCAATCCAGTCGATCCATCCCAATTGCCCATCCCCAAATTTGCCCTGCCATCATGACTGTCGACTACTCCGTGTACCTCGTCACCGACTCCACCATGATCCCTGAAGGGTGTACTTTTCTTGGACAGGTGGAGCAGGCGGTGGCCAATGGCGCCACCCTCGTCCAGCTCCGGGAGAAGCTGATGCTGACCCGCGACTTCATCGCCCAGGCAGAAAAAGTGCACGCCATTTGCAAGGCCAAGAGAGTGCCGCTCATCATTAACGATCGGGTCGACGTCGCTTTAGCCATTGACGCTGAAGGTGTTCATGTGGGGCAAGACGATATGCCAGCGCCGCTAGTGCGCCGCCTCATTGGCAACGATAAGATTTTGGGGGTGACCTGTTCTACGGTGGAGGAGACGGAGCAAGTGGCGAAGGAGGCGGTGGCCGACTACGTGGGGTTAGGCACCGTGTACCCGACCAAGACCAAATCCGACGTCACTGACCCTCACGGTACTGGCCCCTTGGGCATTCGCAAAATGCTCAAGGTGCTTCAGGAGCACAACCGAGACGGCGCTAAGCCGCCGATCCGCTCCGTTGCCATCGGCGGCATTAACCATTCTAACGCTGCACAGGTGATGTACCAATGCCGTGTGGGCGCTAACACCGATAACGAAGAAGCCATTGATGGGGTAGCGGTGGTGCTGTGTATCATGGCGCTGAAGGACGCTGGCAAAGCCACTCGCGAGCTCCAGCAGTTGGTGACGGCGCCGGCGCCGTGGCTCGCCACCGCCTCCAGCGAGGTTGAGACCTCTAATAACTACGTGGGAGCGGTGCGCGATAAGTCGCCGTTAGTACACCATTTAACCAATAACGTCGTCAAGAACTTTAGCGCCAACGTCACCCTTGCTGTGGGGGCGCTGCCGATAATGTCTGAGCTCAAGGGCGACTTCGGCGACCTTGCCGCCGCCCCCTATGCTGCCTGTGTCGTCAACATGGGCACCCCTGACCCCGACACTTTGGCCATGTTTGCCGCCGCCATTGGCGCTTACAACAATGCCCGCAAGCATGTTGTGTTCGACCCTGTGGGCTGTGGCGCCACTAGTGCTCGACTTGCGGCCGCCGCCAAAATCGTCAATAGTGGCGTGGTGTCGGTGATCAAGGGTAACCCCGGCGAGGTGTGGGCGTTGTCGACGTTGGGCGCCAACTACCAAGCCTCGTCGAAGACTGTAACCTCTAAAGGTGTTGATTTTGATGGCGCAATGTCCGATGACGATCGGCGTGAATTAGCGCTCACCGTCGCCCGCGAATTCCGCTGTATCTGTGTCGTCACCGGCGCCCACACCTGTATCGCCGACGCCGACCATGCGGTGATCGTGGACAAGGGGCACCCGATGATGGGACAGGTGACGGGACTGGGGTGCCTGTTGGGCAGTGTTATCGGTGCCCACCTTGCTGTGGCCGACTTGACGGCGCCGTCAGCGTTCGCTGCTGTTGTCAGTGCCATCGAACGCTACGGTGACGCAGGCACCGCCGCCGGCGCTGGCGCCCCGGGCCCGGGATCATTTGTCCCAAGGTTCATTGACGAGTTGGCCCGCCAAAAATAGAAACAAATGACACACCCCATCGCAAGCGCCGTAGCATCCAAAAGTAATTCACGAGAGTAAATTCCAGGGGACTATCAGGTAGTTGCTAGAGATCAGACACTGCCTAAAGTCGGCGCTCCCAATTAACGGGCGCCCGCCGCCCCCGCAGTGTCCGACTGCGCCTACTTGACGGACGTTAACTTTACTACTCCTTTTTCCGAGGTCAGCGCTCGTGAGCGCCGATGACGCTAGTCCACAGATCACCTGTGCTGCCATGTGCAACTGCTGCCTCCGCCTCCACCGACCCACACCCCCCAAATTTCAGCGTCACCCCCTCGCTTTGAAGGGGGGGGCGTCGCGTGTTTATTATCGCGTCTGCGTGCGTATGTTGGTGGCAGTATCGCCTATTGTAAGCGCGCAACCCGGGCTACGTAACCGCGCCGATATAGAGGATACGAGGGGAATCTAGCGCTAATGAGCGCTATTAATAAAAAACACAGCTTTGCTAGGGGGAGGGGCATGCTATGAGCTCTTTACTCACCTGTACGAGCTTTTGTGGCGTTTACGCCCGATATAAAGCCACCAAATCCGGCTTAATGACCAGCATTTTCCTGCCCAGCCCAGAAAAGTAGTCTCCGATGAAGATCCCGATCTATCTCTTGGCAACGGCGATGGCCGCAACCATCCCCTCCGACGCATGGACGGGGTTGAAGCCGAACGAACTGGCGCCCGCCGGCGCCGTCACCTCCTACAGTGGCTCGTTCGGTATCCAGATCGTGGTGGAGGCCACCAATATCACCGAGGTGCTGGCAACGACTGCCGCCGGCAAATCGGCCGCCTCTAAGGTGGCGCTGGTGTCTGTGACTTCGTCCGCTTCCAAGGCGAAGCGGGCTGACCCTGTGGCCCAGATCAACGATGGCCAGGTGCAAAACCCCACCGCCAAGCCCACTCAGCAGCCGCCACTGACGTTGGCAGCTGTCAGCGTCGCCAAGCCCACTGCGCAAGCCGTGAGCCAGATCACCGACGGCCAAGTGCAACAGCCTACGGCCAAGCCCGCTACCGTGCAAGCTGCGACGCAGGCGCCTAAGCCTGCGGCTAACCCCGTGCAGCAGATCACTGATGGTCAAGTGCAACAACCCACGGCTAAGCCTACACAACAACTTCCCACCCTAGCCGCTGCTTCTAAGGCTCCTGCTCCTCAAGCGGCTGCTCCTCAAGCGGCTCAACCTGTCCAACAAATCAATGACGGCCAGGTGCAAAACCCTACCGCTCACCCCGTTCAACAAATCAACGATGGTCAAGTGCAGAACCCCACTGCCCACCCTGTCCAACAGATTAACGACGGTCAAGTGCAAAACCACCCCGCTACTGCTGTTGCTGTTCAGCAAATCAACGACGGTCAGGTGCAAAACCACCCTGCCACCGCCGCCGCTGTTGCTCACCCCACCGCTGCTGCTGTGCAACAAATTAACGATGGCCAAGTGCAAAACTCCCACGCGGCCGCTCCCACTGTCCACCCCACTGCTGCCGCCGTTTCGCAAATCCATGACGGTCAACCTCAAAACCCCACTGCGGCTGCGCCCGTGGTTCACCCCACTGCTGCTGCTGTTTCACAAATTCACGATGGTCAACCGCAAAACCTGGCGGCTGCTCCTCTTGTGTCTCACGCTCTGGCTGCCGCTGTGTCGCAGATCCACGATGGTCAACCCCAAAACGCTCACGCCTCTGCTTCTGGTCTTGGCCTGATCCTTGGCGGTATTGGCGCCGGTGAATCTCCCGAACCCGCGTTGGCTGAGGGTAACAGCACCACTTCCACTGGCCTCACTGGCACCTCCAACGCCACCGACGGCGCTTCGGTGTTCGACACCACTCCCCAGGCTTGCAAGTCGAACAGCTCGCTCACGTTGACCCTTAAGGACGGTATCTTGCGCGACAGCAAGGGCCGTGTCGGTTCGATCGTCTCCAACCGCCAATTCCAATTCGACGGTCCTCCTCCTCAAGCTGGTGCTATTTACGCTAACGGCTTTAGCATCACCAAGGACGGATACATCGCTCTCGGCTCTAGCGACAAGTTCTGGCAATGTTTGTCGGGCGACTTCTACAACTTGTACGACCGCGACATCGGCACCAAGTGCTACCCGGTCAAGTTCCAAGTGATCAAGTTTGTCGACTGCTAGAGGCAGTCATTGACAGAGGTCACATAATAATGGTTAGCAAAAATGGTATAGATAAATGAATGTAAATGATAAGATCGTATTCTTCTGGAGAGTGATCAAGCAAGAATTAAAGGGAAGGTTCAGTTATCTTAGGAAATCTCATTTGGCAATGGGTATTGATGTTCAGCGCGACGGGAGGTTGAAACAGAACGATGAAACATGTTTATGCTAAAACCCATAGCTGCATAAGGATGGGCTGATGCCATTAGCCGCTTTCGCTTGGCATCCATTGTAAGCTTAAACAAACATCAGCTTCCGATAAAACAATATGCAATGAAAGACTCAATACTGTCTAGTCCCAAAGTTGAAGTTCGCAATATGTTCCCGAAAGTTTCAACTCACACCATGGACTTCAACGCCGACGACTATGACTCCAAAACCCTTGTGAGTTCTTCATTGATGAATGATGTTACGCTGAGCCTTGAGAAAGAGTGGGAGATATTAAGAAGCGCAAACGAACTGCATATAGTATATGATTCTTCTTACCAGAGAGAAAGGCAGTGACAAGTTGAGTGGTCTTCAGTAAGATTAGCCTGCGAGTAATCTTAGTGTCATTCCTTTTGATCCGCTTTTATCTAAAAAAAAAATGGAGCCAAGCCTGACGGATAAACGCGACTAGCAGCAAGGTCACATGAAATCGACTCAGACCGTCACGATGCAATGTACAACATATCTTCACTCAGGCCATCAGTGAAGGCTCTCGGAGTTGTTATCGCGCAGACCACTCGTGTGCTGCAATCTCCCCTATATCGCACATACTTCGAGGGATTGATATTTCCGCTAGCAGAAAAAGATGGAGCAAACAGCTTCCAAGACCGTTGAAGAGAAATGAAAAGAATCGCAAGCCTTGAATCAGTCTCATAGGCTAACCATTGGAGATCATTGTAGTTAGAGGTGGTAGGTGCGGCGCGCGAAGAGGGTTCAACAGTCGCACTGGGCCTCATCGCGAAATTTTCCAGCTGACCCAAGCACTTTACATTCCACGATGCATTTGATGTACACTATTGGTGCCGACGGCAAGAGAGTTTACACCTTGAAGAAGGAAACCGAGGACGGTGAAATCACCAAGTCGGCCCACCCGGCGAGATTCTCGCCCGATGACAAGTACTCGAGACAAAGAGTGACTTTGAAGAAGAGATACAACCTTTTGCCCACGCAAAACTAAGGTGACTTGCCAACGGAGAGAAAGGGAGACATTACGAGATGACTCAAAGGTTATGATTTTGTACCATAGTTAATAAAGGATATTACGGATGAGAGTAGAGATTAAGTTTGGGGAGAGGTTCGATCGAGTCTCAGATGAGCTAAAAATTAAATGCTTCGAGTTATTGATATTATCAAGCACAGGCAATATCATCCACTGTAGAAGCCAAGTGATCAAATATAAATGGATTCAAGTGAGAAAACCCTCACAATGAGTATCTCATAAGAGATCAACTCTCCGCTAAGATCCAGGCCAAAAATAATCTAGAGAGTCGAGGACAATCAACTACACCGATAATGGAGTCGCTGGGGGCAAAAAGAAGCTCTTTGGCGGGGAATCGAACCCCGATCTCCCGCGTGACAAGCGGAAATACTAACCGTTATACTACCAAAGACTGGTTGACGGAACAACTTCAAGTGGTTCCTGACGCCAGATTCTGTCGGCATATTCAATCTGGCTGATCCCGGCTCAAACATCAACTTGCACCACTGATAATGGCAATAGAAATTGTAACGTTAACATCCTGAACATTTAAACATCGCCACCTGCCGATTACACTGCCATAGCCTTGGTGGGGGCGCCCCTCCCGTTACGAACCCCGCACCACCTTCGCGAGGTAGAATAATCCCAACTATTCTCGATCGATTATCCATCACCAGCCGTCGCCTGCTTCCTTCGATTATCTCCCCCAATACCATGCCTCGACGAACTAAAGGCTGTGTGCGGTGCAAACGGCTCAAAATCGGCGTAAGTACCAATTCCACTTTACCCAATTCTCACATGTCCCACCACCAGCATACTAACCAGGCGTAGTGCGATTCTCGAAGGCCGGCGTGTGGCTACTGTGCCCTGACGAACCGAGTGTGTGAGTATGAACTGCCGGCTCCCGAGGATAGCGTGCCACCACACCCCACAGAAAATTCCAAGGCGATTGACGACACGTCGGCGTGGCTGTTTGCCATCCCCTGCGAGCGTCTCCAGTTGACGCCGTTTGAAAGCGAACTCACGGGTTTTTACCAGTCGTTCGTGTCAAAATTCTTTGTCCCCGTGGCTAACCATCAACAGTTGCTGAGCCACTGGGCGCAACTGCTTCTCGTGATGACCGACCGGCTGATACTTGTCCGCCGGTCGCTCGTGGCGTACCTGGCGCTATTGATCCACAAGTTTGCCCCCCACCGACAATTTTGCCTGCTGGACCAGTTCACGCTGCTTTACACGCAAATGCTGGCTAACTTCCACCAGGCAATTACCACTTTAAAACAGGTAATGGCGGCGGCATTGCTGCTGGAAGGTACCATCGAGAAAGTGCTGGTGCACCCGGATACGGTGTTTGCCATATTGATTCTGGGGATCTTCGTGGTGCTTTTCCTCAGTCGTCATCCGCATAAGCTTATGCCATTGCTAGCATTTGAAGAAGATGGTCCTCTGCTCCACTTTATGGCGATTGCTCGTGGGGTGAGAGAGACGATTATCTTATGGGCACCATCGCTCTATTTAAGTCAGTACCAGACGATCTACGCTGAGTTACTTGGGACCACGGCTCCGCTACTGGCGGGCGATCATAATGCTGATAATATCATCCCTATGCTTGCCCCTATGTTCGCTGACTTGGACGACGCCTATATCCCGCCCGCCATTAAACCGACACTTCAACAATCAATGCAAGTGCTTAACGCTCAGCTTCACGACTTGGCGCAGGTGCGGCTTAACCTTGAACTCACCAAGTTCCTTTTGCGAGTTCCCTCCGAATTCTTTGATTTAGTGTTTCAAAAGAACTTTTTCGCTTTACGGATAATGTTTGTGTTTCTGTGTCTTCTGTTACTACTTGAGTTCTGGGTGCTGGAACAGCTGAACATGTGGGTTGACTACCTCGAGTGGTTCCGCCAATACAACTTTACAGTGTGCGACCAGTGGATGTACCCCCATGACCGCACGCTTTACGATATTGCCTTTACTTACCGGCTCCATTTCCCTCTTGGCCACTACCACCACTTGGAGTTGATGGACTTGAACCAGTTATTGCAGCTCGCCATGGGCAGTACCCCTGCAACCAGTGTGGCTGTTGTCGATCCGGGCTCCGATATTGCGTCCGAAGCCACTGTCGAACCAGCAGCCTCGTTCGCTGGCTAATTATACACTTACATGATCTTGGCTACATTTGGGGGCACCACCGCTTACTAATTAATCGAGCGATTATTGTCGCCTAGTCAAGGCTATTGGGATTGCGATTGGCAAATCACGTGAGGGCAGATAAATATGGTGACGACGATGGCAATTTTTCCAAAGGCTTAGCTTCAACGACCAAACCACCCTAGCCCCACCGGGTCCCGGATCCCGGCTTTTGGCAACTCCCGCGCCTCGAGCTGCATTTGCCGGAACAAATAGTTGGGTCTTTCCAGCGTGCGTCGCCCAAAAAAGATATTGCATGCAGAACAATACCCCCCGTTAGCCCCCACGATAGACCCCCGGCGTAAAGAGGTGACCACTCCAGCCTCGCCCCGGCGATGACAGCTCACCCAAAGTTAAAGCTCGACACTTTGAGTACCATTTATTCCGTCGCCACCACGAAGTTAGCAGCGCCAGGCCCTTGTCTGTACTCCACTAATTCCACCTGCCCCTGCGGGCACCTGGCATTTCGCGTCCGGAAAAGCTAGCCCGGACCTTACTCAACACCCTCGAGCGGCTTCCCCAGACAGGAACACGAAACTTGAGG